ATAAACTGCTAATTTTGTAGTTACTGTCATCAACCAAAATTTGATGGTAGGCCGCAGATTCCACAGTCAGGACACAAGTGTGGGCTCGAGTGTGCACAATATTGTATGGTAGACAAGGGCCTGCCGGTGCACCGGGTGAGGGGTGTATTTTGTGTGTGTGAGGCAGTAATGAAAGAAAGAGGCTTTTCCCATCCTCCATTTTGTTTGAGCCCCTCTCACTACCCAAATATTTATGTTTCACGAGTATGTTATGGCCCACAATTCAGGCATAGCCAAATGCAAGGCAGGTAAGAACAGAGACACCACCACTATTTACTTTCTGAGAAAGAGAAGAGTGGGAGAGAAAGGTGGGCATGTATAGTAAAAACGAAACGAACGTCAAAAGTAGGCTTTGTGTTGTAGGCCGAGATTAAACATAGGTTTAGGGATGTGAAGTTGTAGTCCGTCCACAATCACGGATAGTTCCACACAGATCAGACCACTATAGCACTGCAGGGAGGTCCACAAAAATTATTAACCCTCCCCCAATTGTCACTAATCTGCTTGTGGTAATGAATCATGCTATGTAAAACCTATGTGCCACAGTGCCTGCTTGACATTTTTGTTAGCCAGAGGTGATCCAGTGAGTAGCTATTTACAATCTTGGACCAAGTATTTATTCAGATTATCAATAAGGAATTGACAGATAGGTTTTGATCTGCTAGAAAGGGCCACAGCGTTTTCACAAGATGGGAGTGGCAAAAGGCATTCTTGGCAACTGCTGGAACCTAGACCTTCATATGTTATTAGAAGAAATAAAAAATATGAGGAATATGTTTGGTCAGGATATTTTTTTCTAAAAGTTTATCAATATTTTGCTTTGTTGATTGGGTTTTCAAAAACATTTCATGTGTCTAGGCACCCACCGTAACACAGGGCTGCCATGAAGTGATGGGGGAGGACCATACATACTGCCCTGAACTCCTTAGAGAATTGTGGGGGAAATATAAATAATGTTCTTAATTTCTAAAAAATAAATGAGAGACTGCATGCTCTATATATCAGTCTTTTTAGAAAACAGTAGCCAAAATTAGCTTTATATGCAATTTCAGTACACCACAGGGTAATACAGAATTTTCTTGAAAGAGAGAAGGAAGAGAAAACAATCAGCCTGAAGTTGATCAGCTTCTAGGAAAAACTGTGCATGTACACTGGTTACGAACTTAATTCGTTCCGGAGATCCGTTCTTAAGCTGAAACTGTTCTTATCCTGAGGTGCGCTTTTGCTAATGGGGTCTCCTGCTGTGTGGGCGCCTTCAGCGCATGATTTCCATTCACATCCTGGTGCAAAGTTTGCAACCAGGAGCAGCTACTTCCGGGGTAGCGGAGTTCGTAACCCGAAGCGTTCGTAACCAGAGGTACCACTGTATACAGGTCAAACATTTCATTTTATTTGCAGTTTGCAGGCTTTTGAAAGCTCAGTTCATAGTATGACTGCTTTGAAAGACAACACCGTTGACAATATAATTTTTGGGCAGTAATGTTACTCTAGAAAGAAACACTAACAGTTTTTCCTGGACCATAGAGGTACCCCATATTATAACACTCAATTAATCAAGATCCAAAAAAAATAATAGGTTCAAACAAATTCATTGACAAACCCTGATATGTTTCCAGCTAAAATACATTCTTCAACAAATATTTAGTTATTCTGTTATAGAAAACTTTATTGCATTGCTTTTGCATGAGTACTATTAGAGGTATAAGAATCACTCAGCAAATAAGGCCTGGTCTCACAAATGAAAGCACGATAGGGAATTGAGAGCCTTTCCTGCAGAAATGTTTAAATTAGATTTTCCTTTCATTTAAGGCAAAGCGGTAGGACTTACCTATGCATAACATGATAGCAGGATTGCAGCCTTGGGCCACAATTCTGCATAGGGTTAGATGTGCCTAAGCTCCATGATTTCAGTGGGTTCTAAGAGTGCATAAATGTGCATTGGGTTGTGGTTTCTGTCTGATAAAAACATTTTGAGTTTTTCTTTCTACTACTGCTGCTCTTCATAAGATTTTGCAAGAAGTAAGTTAGTTAAATGTTGTGGCATTTGGATACGTTTTTACAATTCAACCTATTAATCTTTACTCAGGAGAAAAACATGAATATTGAATCTGTGGAGGCCATGCTATGCATGTGTACATGGAAGCAAGTCCGACCAATTTCGATGGTGGAATACTTAAGGTATTTTGCTTTGTGTTCAGTGGGATTTGCATCCAAATAAACATTCATTGGATTGCAGCTTTTACAGCCCAATTCTAATAATGGCTTCTCAGGAATATGCTTCATTGATTTCAATAGGCCTTACTACTTAAATAAATTTAGGATTGCAGCCATAGTGGGACAAGAGCAGCACATAGTTGTAGCAGCAGAAACATCCATGCTTCTCTTGTATGCAAAATGGCTGTCTAAAAATCTGTTTCTATCCCTCACGAAGTAGTGAACTTGAAAATGTAATGGTAGCGCATGTGCCCTTATTTAAGGAAAATGCCTTATTTCTTAAGACCGAGAAAAACTGAAGAACTGTCTGCATTCATATGGACTCCCTCTTTTGCTCAGATGTTAGGCTGAGGAGCTGCTCTGGTTCCCCTGCCTTTGGAAGTTAGGGGACAGGGTCTTCTCTGTTCTACAGCTGAAGCATTGACTCCAATGAGAAAAAAATAACTGGGGCTGGTGTAGTTTTGGACACTCCCCCCCCCCCCCGGAGGGGGAGTGTTGGGAAGAAGGGGGCTTAGGATCTTCTGGTTCCTTGCCTTTCCTGACATACTCCATTTTGGCCCCCGCAACCTGTGCAACATCTACACCCATGGGATCTTCGGATGAAGGGTGGTATACAAATTTTAACAACAACATACTAGGGGAACGTCCAGTGGCCTTTGTGCTGTCCATTCAAGGGCCTTTCCTGTGGCCCCTCAGCTGGCTGAATGCTGGCTGTAGGATTGCACCCTTAATATAAATACCAGGTAAAATATATATAATTTATTTGAGCTTTCAGAGGCATTTAACTGTGGATAGCTTTTATAGTGCTGATTTCTGTCCATTTATGTTGGGTCATTTTAATTAGACTTAAGGCAAACTAGATGTGATGTGAGAGATCGATGAATCAGACCCCCCCCCTTTGTTTCCTTTTAAAAAGGAGCAGAGCAGCCACAAGAAGCTGGGAATTCAAATCAGGACCATGATATTAGATGGTGTTTTAAACTTTCCACCAATCCATTTTTCTGGTCGAAATCTACCCTGCCCCCCATTGCTGCCATTTCTCCACAGGGTAAAGCATACCATGGGGTTGACTTCAGCTGGGAAAATGGCACAGGTGAAAACCATCCCACAGCACTGTAATCCTGATCTGAATCAGGCCTTGCCCCGAGGCAGCTGGAACTCTTCACCCCACCCTCAAATGTAGGTGATAATTATTTTATTATTTATCTGTATTTTATATTTTTATTTGTTTTATTTTTTAATGTATGGAATAAGGCAGCATCAATATCCTTCAGTAGAAAGAAGGCATAGAAATATTCCAAATAAAATGTCATATTTAAGCATATATATTCAGTGTTCTCTGAACAGATCAGGATCATTGTTACTGAGGGATTGGTAAATACAGCTAAGGGCATTTTTTGACCTATTGAATGTATCCAGAAGATAAGAGCTGGGGTATACTAAGGCTGCAATCCTAAAGACGCTTACTAGAAAGTAAGCCCAACTAAATGTAGGGGGACCCTCTTTTGAATAACTTTGCTGATAATTGTGTTGCATATTATTATTAATAATAACAACCTGGGTGAATTCTGCTGCTCTTTTACAAGCCAGTCCTACACATACATACTGGAAAGTATGGTTTCAGTGAGAGCAAAATTCAAGGCAAATTTGAAGAGACCTGCAAAGAGACCTGCATTTAGGGAAATGAAAAGGATCTCAGTATGATTAGCAAAAATGGTCCAGCTTTCCAATCTCAGTATAATTTTTAAAAGCCATTTCCAAGTAAATAAACTAAGGGTCAGGTGTGAAAAGTACTTTATAACGTTTATGAAGCCTAATCCTATGCTTAGGGTTGCAAGTGTGAGGACATTTTTACTTACGTTAATTAAAAATAAATTGAGTCTCCCCCTCACTCTGCGTGTGCTCATGCAAATGTTTTTTTAATACTGTACTTGTCAGAAAGTGGCAGGAAGCCATTTCAAAGTTATTCAGGCTAATATAAGTATTTCATTGGCATTACAAATAGTAGAAATGCAAAGAAACCGGACTTAAGTCTCATGAGTGAAAACAACCCTAATCATCCCCCCATATTCACAACAAAATTGTATGGGCCGCTTCCCATGTTATCTGGGATCAAAGACACACTAAATATTTCCTGTGCACCTTGAGAGGAGCAGCGGCCAGTCCTGTTGCATGCACCTGTGTGTGATACCTACAATGATCCCTGCGGGTTTGTGGCACACAGACAGATGCAGTATATGTGCCCATTAAACTGTTTGGTAAAATATGTTAAGGTAATGACATAGCAGCGAGGCCACTCTTTCAGCAGGGTCTTTAAAACCAGAATCGGTAGTCTAACTTACAACACAAGGGCTATTAGCAAAAACTGAACAACCCCAAACACGGAAAAGTGTAAGAAAAATATGTACCCCTTATTATTCCCCCCTCCTTATATATATAAGAAAGGAGGGGAAACTTAACACATTAAAAGTGCGGAGAAATCACGATTTCAGGTATTAAAGGCCCCAAAAAGTGACTTGGGAGAGGTGCCTCGCTTCCTTTTGCTCGCCTCGATTCAAAAAAACCTTTCCTTCCCCTCTCCTCCGCGCTCCTCGCCCGTGGCTTCCTTTTCCATTCAGGACCTGTGGGCTTGGAAAAGAGCTGCACCTGCTTTAGATGGATTATGGTAGAACTGGAAGTAACTCTCTCTCTCTCTCTCTCTCTCTTTCCCCCCTCCCCTCCCTTCCCAGCTCTCAAGTCACATCTCCAGTACAGACACAACCCCTGTGATTAGAGGCTGATCTCCACATCTGAATGGGACAGAGAAAGGAGGGACCCGAGACATAGATTGACTCCCCCCTCCCCCCCCCGCCCGCCTCTGAGACTTCCATTGAGGAAAACGGAACAGGAGAAAGGGGTGAAGGAAGAAGAAACAGGACCCCCCCTCCCCGAATACAATAAGAGAAGAAAGCGGCAAAGCCTTTGGCAGGAGAAAAGTATGATCATGCCTGAACTGTGTTAGTGCTTTCTCTTCTCTCTCTGTCGGCTTGCTTCTCCCTCTTTCTTTCTCTCTCTTTCTCTTTCTCTGTCTCTCTCTCTTTGTCTCCGAGGTGTTTAACTTTGGGGGAACCTCGGGCTGCTGGAGCTGGAGGCATTTCTGCTCCGCAAGGGACGAAGCTGGACGAGGCGGCGGCGGCGGCAACGGCGGTAGCAGCGGCGGCAGCAGCAGCAAAGAGGCAGCCACATGCTCCAAGTGGGGGGTGTTAAAAGTTGAGACCCGATTCCAGGCGCTGTAGATCGAAACAGGTTGGTGGGATCTTTTAACAGTAGCAGCCGCAGCCGCAGCAGCAGCAGCAACAACAACAACCCTCCCCTCCCCCCTCCTCTTAAACTTTCAGTGCTAGTTTAGTTTTTAATCCATACAGTAGTTCCTTCCTCTTTCTCTCTACACCCCCCCCCCCAGCCGCGCGCACTCTTCTGCTTTAAAGAGATATATATACCTTGCATTGAATATTTGCGATCAGGAACGACTTAAAGTTGATAAACTGGCCGGTCTGTTGCGCCTGCCCCCCAGGTGTTTTGGAAAAAGCAGGTGTGTAGAGGAGGCTGAGATTTATGCTTTGTTGATTCCCTCCCTTCTCCCTCACCCCCCTTTCCCGTATCCTTCCTTACTCTCTTTCTCCCTCTGAGATTGCAACCTCAAGGATGTTAGGGTGTGTATGTGGAAAATATATATATAGAAAAACTACTTGGCGAAGGCAGCCTCCTCTCGGTTTAATTTATCAGTGCCTTTTAGTAAAAGAGACGCGTGAAAGTTCGGGGTACCCAGAAAACGGAGCACTCCAGACAAAGAGAGGTGCTGGTGGAAATAACTTTTCAGCTGGGATTTACAGAGGGTGGCATGGAAACCAAAGGAATCGGATATGTGAGACTAGTTGGGGTGTTGGAAAGCTTTTTTCTTTGTTCATGGGGGGAGTTGTGAGGATGGGAGGCAGGGATAAGAGGTTCTTGCTTATAGGGAAAAATGAAGGAAGGAGCATGCAGTGAGTGGATTTTTATTTTTTTTTTGTTCCTCTGTTTTGTGAATGTGAAGAGGGGTGGGGAGTAGATGTTGCAAAACCGCTTTGGGGTTTCTGCAGATCAATCAGTCCTGTAAGTGTGTCTTTGAATTACAATTTATTGTGATTGACAGGATGGATAGGCTCAAAGGCACTCACATTTATGGTCTTCTTGAGTACACATTTAGAGTGGGGGTGAGATCCTGAATTGGGATAGCAGAATTTCTTGTCTTCCCCACTCTGAAATAACTTTTTCCTGGCAAACAAGTTGGCAACGGATAGGAAAGTTTTTTGTCTAGCGAAAAGATCGGCTCTCTGGCTTAGGTCTATTCTTTAGGGTAATAAAACTTTGAGGTGGTAGAGATGCTAGAAAAATATTTCATAAATCCTGAATTCCCCTTACTTCTTACTGGTTTTTATACAGTGGCTGAAATTTAAATTTGCTTTATTCTAAATAACAAGACTAAAAAAAAACTTTTAATGGCTCTTTAAATTATTATTTCCTGCTGGGAAGGTAGCAATAAATATACTCTGTTGTTACAGTAGTTCACTTCATCATCTACATTCTTAAATGAGCTTGATCTTCCTCGTTTTATATATTTCTTAAATGCACAAAACGTATTTATTGCTGTCAGGTAATGTTTTTGGCCCAATCAGTCTTTCAGTCTGTCTCCTCAGCTTCTTGTCGGTTTGTCTTCTACTCCCACCTTTAAATGCCACCTCTGAATTAGAAATGTTTCTAATATCCCTTAGAGCAGCAAACTTGAACTAAAATTAGCAAAGAAATGATCGTATACATTGTTCACTATAATACAATGTGATGCCATCCCAGTGCTCCCTAAAAAAAGGGGGGAGAACCTATATAAATTTTTATATAACCTATATAAAAGTGGGAAAGGTGCAAATATATATAATTTCAATGCCATGGTGATTGAAACTTGAAAGGGGAAAATTTATATTCAGACTTAGGAGCTTAGAAGTGATGTTCTCGGTTTATCTGTATAGGTTTCTCCTAACTGAGAACTTTTTAAAAGCACAAATCTTAAAAAACAACCTAAAACATCAACATATTTTTTTAAAAAGGAGCTCAATAGATATTTTGCTGTGATTGTGAGTTGGGACTGGGTCTTCTAGTAGGTGTATCATAGTTTTGTGAGCATTAGTCGGTCATTAAGAGAAAGGGAGCAAATTCATTACCAGCCTTTCTTGGGCAGCTGAGAAGTTTCAAGTAAAATTTATTTTAAATCTTGTAGTTGACATGGGTCTGTGAAGATAATGCTCAATTTCTATCATCGTTTTCATCACCATTGACACACAGCAGAATAATTAATAAAGTTACGGATCTTGGTTGTTTTATAAATTTTCATAAGTGATAAAGTTCTGAATGCTACGTAACGCAGATGAGTTCAAATATGGGGGGAGTGTTAAAAATGGTTTTATTTTGGCAGACCATTTTTTTGGTATGTGATCTGAAACAAAAACTCCCATTGAATTTGGTATTTAAAAAATGAAATCATTTCATCATCTCTTCTCAAGTTCAAAATAAACTTCGAATGGATGAGAATAGGTATACTAATTCATTAGAGACACTTAGACTCTAAAAGATCTTTTGAAGCGCAGTATTACAAGGAATGCATTTGACAAACTCATAGTGAGATTTGTCTCTTCTTAATTTAGCCCTAAGGAATTTCACTACAGATCCCATTCCAGGGACCATTGCTGACTTCAATCAAGTGCTCAGTCCGAAATACTGTTTCTTTGGAGACAAAAATTTACTCCAGTTTTTAGCAATGGCTTATAACTTCAGTTTAATGCTTTCAGAAAAGCTGTGGGGTGTACAATAAAAAAGAATTATTACATTGTGTTAAAAGGTGGGTATAATCAACAACAGAAATAGTATAGTATTCTACAGATATATTACTACATGTTAAAACATTTACACAAGAAGGGGCTTGTGTTGCTCACAGGCCATTTTCTGTCAAATTGTCACAGTGTGTTACTTCCTTAGGCACTGGGCCCTGTGAGTTGTGTATGCTGCCTGCAGTAGCATCCAGGATCCTAAACCATTTTTACACATATTTAACATTGCTTAATTTCTGTTAATTGTACTTTAAACTGAGAGCATATATTGCAGGTGAGTGATGCTTGTATAACATGATTTAAAATATTTAACCCCCTTCCCCTCTCAAGTTTTTAAAAAAACCCAGTCAGATTTAAACTAAGAAAGATGGTCAGAACCAGATTCATAATTTTTTGTGCAAACCAGGTCCGGTGGGGTGTGTGTGTGTCAGTTGGTTCTGATTCCAAATCTTTGTTCCTTTATTTTCTCCCCCTCAGAAATGGGTGCACATTGAAGTGGAGTAAATTGCTGAGCCCCTGTGTTTCCTGTATTTTGAATTGATTTTATATAAAGTTCTTGGAAGTTTAAACAAATCTTCAAAACTTAATGCTTATGCGTATGTGCATAGAATGTAAACATCTAAATTTTGAGTGGGGAGAACATCTATTTAGTTACAATTGATGCAAGTGATTAGTTATATTTTAAAACTACAAACATAATGAAAAGGAAAAATGTTTCTCTAGTAAAGTGCTATCTTATATGATTAATTTGAGTATTTTGGCATGGAAATATATGATCAAAAACCTTCTCTCCCATCCATTTTTGAATTCTTTTAAAGCAAAGATTAAAAGGGGTGGGGAGTACTCCAGTCCCACAGGCACTAAGCACTGGTGTTAGGCAAAAACCTTCTTGCAGAGTAAGATACATACAGTAGGCTGCCTTTTCACAGCTCCATTGTGTAATATTGTAAGGAAAGCTGGGTAAATAGGCATGGAATTTCTTTCTTCCCGGACTGGTAACTTTCTAGACCATGAAGTCGTCAAGTTCATCTGATACTCTAATGTCACAGTTTAGGATTATAATAAGAAAAGTTTTTTTGTTTGCATGTAGGACTAAAGGATGTAATAATTGAGAAAATAATTTGGAGTGAATAGTTCATTCAATTTACACTGCATATTTTCTTCTTATATTAACATTTTGATTGCTCTTTTATTTATTAAGAGTACAATCAATAATAGCAAAAAATCTGGTGGATCTCTAATTCAGATTCTCTTTATAGAAAGGAGGGTTTCTTTAAGAAGAAAGGGGGGAAATCTATAAAACAAAGAGCAAATAAAATAACCACTTCAGGCGCTTTCTCTTTTTCTTTTCTAATAACCAAGCCGGGAACTATGTGCAGTCAGTTGTGAAGTTTTTGCCCAAAGAAGCCTAAGAGCTTTTCTTTTCTCATGGCAGAGGGGTTGCTTTTGAATCTGATAATGTTTGTGTGTGTCTCGCTGTGGGGCTGAAATGGGGAAGGGAGGGGGTGATGGCTGAAATGTTTCTGTTGCATGTGGGGGGAGATCGAAGTTGGAGGAAGAAAAGATACTGTTGTGTTTTGCTTTTTAAAGTGACATACAGTGCAATTCACCCAGAAATAAATCTCACTAAGTTCAATGGGACTTACTTCCAAGTAACCATGGTTAGGACTGCTGTGATAAAGTGTGTGCCTGTGTGAGAACTGGGGAGAGTTAGAATTCTGAACCCCCACCTTAAAACTAGAGGGGGAAGAGATGGATCTCACAGAAAAGATGAGCATATATGTGTTCCCCTTCCCTTAGAATGTAAATTTTATAGCTTGGCACCATTTAGTAAAGAGCTTTCCACCTCCGCTTTGCACTTCCAATCAGTGATTTTCCCTGAAAGTTGAAGCGGGGAGAGAAGTCATTTGTTCACCAAAGTCCTTCTTTACTGGTAGCAGGTGTTTGTTTCTAGAAAAGGCATTCACTCTAAAAAAAGGTTAGGGGATAACATCATATAAAGCTACTCATCTGTGCCCTGTGCTTCAGGAAGACAACATATTGTTACACAGGTTCTTGGCACTGAGATCCTGCAAGAAATTCGTTATCAGCCGTTATAATCAAACTCTGCTTGTGTATGGTTTGGCCTTCAGGGTAGAAAAAGGCTCTCTTATTGCTTCCTTATGGAGGAACTTGCTTTTGCCTGCAAAAATATATTGTTTTATCCCAGTTGTCTTAAGAGAGGGCAATAAAAGATCTTTAACATGATTTAAAGACAACAACTTCAAAACAAGTCCCACTGATGCCCGTTTTGATTTAATTATTTTCAATTTGGCATTGTTGTGCTGTTGCATAGAACAGGATGCCACCTTTCAATCTTGGCTAATTCACTTGCCTCCAGGGCTGAGTGATTTCCTCCTTACACTGGGAGTAATTGCCACATGGCAAGTTAAAACACACCTTCAGAATTGTTGTTGATAGGAAAAGAGTGATGACTTAAATTATATGAGGGAAATCTGTACCTGGGAGGTGTGTGATAGGAGATATGATTAACAAAATAATAAATTTTCAAATTTTGAATGCAGTTTTACTATTATATCAACTTGGAAATTGGCATCCGTGCCACAAACTTAGATTTCATTCACTTCCATTTGTTGATTTGTTCTGTTAATTTTTCTGGCTTTGGATCAAATAGACACATTAATACATTTCTCTATTAATTCATTGTGCTGCTTTGTCTCAGAAGCTCCTTCACTGGTCATAAACATTTTTTTCTTGGTAGTCGAGAGGGAGGCTTTTGAAATGTTTGTTTTGTTTTTAAGTTAAAAATACTATTTTCACATTTGACTTTGTTCTTCTAACCACACTGGAGTTTCAGTTCTAGTGTGTGCAGTTTGCACATGGAATTTAAAACAGTTTTTGTTTTCTTTGAAAAATCTGCTTGTCTTACGTGAAAAGGGTTTTGAAGCAATACAGGGGGGAATGCAGTAGATAGAACATTTCCAGAATTCAGTTTCAATTTGTCTTATAACAGTGTATATATGTGTGCGCACGTTTAAACTGATGGTTCAGTTGATTATTGAATTTCTATCCGTTAATATATTTTCCACAGAGATCCTGATTTTAGGAAAGGGTTAAAAAGCTGAACTAGGATGGAGGATATATTAAAAAGTACAAGTGCACTTGCACATTTGTATACATAAGGTAATTTAAGCCAAGATCCATAGTGTGGGGATTCATTGGGAAAACCTGGAGTCTCGTTTTGTTTTATAAAAACCCTGCTGTGTCTGGTGAACAGAGGTTGTCTGTATAGAGGACGGTTATTGAAAACTTTTCAATGTAAGTATCTCATCAGGTCAGTAGAGTTTCCTGGACAAGGTGTTAGTTAGCATTGTGAATCTGACTCTTTCAAATTCACTATTGCACATCGTTCTCTACTGACTTGGTCTTCATGGCAATATCAGCATTTGTTATCTGCTAGCCTGCACATGTTACCCAACCTCCATGTCCTTGCAAAGAGACAGAATCTGATCAATTCACTGCCCGCTTACCTGAAACACTTCCATCCGTTTCAGGACTTTCAACAACAAATGGATCAGTAGACGAGGATTTCTGCCACCCATTAAGGGTTGTTGTGTATCCTGGCATTCTGGATGGAGTATTACGTTAACTGCATGCAAACTTCATAAAAGCACACTATAAAAATTCTAAGTATCGATAAAAAAAACACAAGCATTGAAAATACTTGGGTGGGAGAGAGGAGCCACTGTGCCCCATTTTGATATGCTGCTTCTCATTCTGCCCCACTGGCGAAACTTTACCACGTGGTGCCTTTGAACGGGCATTAGCATATAGTCAGCTAAACCAGAGTTGGAAACAAACCTATGGAAATCACTGGCATGCAAATGTTTTAATCAGCCGACAGGGGTTGGCAGAGGAGGGACAGAGAGCTCTGCTCCTCTCCCAGCAGCCTGCTGCATGTCTATACTGGGTGAGGAGGAAGCAGCTTCTGTCCTGCAGCAACTTACTTGCTGGAGTGCCCCATCCATCGTCTGTCAGTCCATTAGCTCACTTGCATGCAATTCCTTATTGTTTATGGCTACCAGGCAAGTGTGTTAATAGAGGGGTAAACTAAACAGTCATACTTCGAAGTGGGGAGAGGCTTTCCCGCAAGGTTTGGCAAGCCGCTTTGAGGTTTTATTACAATCAAGCGGTATATAAATCTTGTTAAATAAATAAAGAAAAGTGATTCTCTGTGAGAAGCCTGACTTTGCTTCACTAGTTCATGAAATAATGAATAAGGAAAATCCCTGCAAATTCAGAAGGGAAGAGAAGTTTGTATCTTTTTTGAAGAATGGGAGTGTTAGCCCATTTGTATATAGCAGCTGTATTCCAAAGAACCTGGATATTTTAACATGAACACTATCCTGGCACTATTTCTCCTCAGTCTATTTAGCTTTCTGAATTTATGCTGGTATGGTTTAGAAGAGAGCCCTACTTGCCTGTATAAGCACAAGAAGGGTGGAATAGCACTATCAGGTAAAGCATAAAGCATCCTGCATGAAGACAGTGAAAGGACCAGTGTGCCTCTGCAGTATTAGGCAACGGAGCATGTGTATAGTGTGTTCCTTGAGGGCAGCATAGGAGCTAACATGCTTCTGGATTTATCTGGCACTGTTTGATCCTGTCAAAAGGAAACTGTGTAATGACTCACACATGCGGGAGTGAACAAAGCAGTTTTGGGGAATATATCCCATCCCCGAAGAGGCAGTTTGTTCAGTTAAAAACCAGTCATTCCTCTTTAAAAAAATCTAGGAGTGGCCAGCAGCTTAAAACTGTTCTCCCATATCCCATGGCCCCATACAAACAAATAAAATATGGGAAGCGGCAAAGAAGAGTGTAGATGAATTAGTTGCATATTTTCAGGCAATACTTAGGGTTTTCCTATGATCTATTTCCTATATACACTTCTAGTTCACACATATTTTAAGCTTTACAAATGACAACCCAGGTATATTCAAATAAAACATAGTGATTGTTTTCTCATGATCTTAGGCAAAAGGCTGATATAGGTAGATGGTGTTGAGCTGTGTTTCAAGACCTAGACTTACAGTCTAGTTTACTTTTTGGCTGTGCTGTGATCATCCTGTGTTGCTTTGGGTGGGTCACTGCTTCAGTAACGTCTAATTTCAATGACAGTTACCCCCGTTTTGGAATAGAATTACAGTGAAGTAGTTGGGTGTACTTCTTGGTGTTGGGCACCTTAGAAAAGCCTCTGTAAATAAGGTACTTGACCACACGAATAGGGTGAAAAAAGCTTGCTTGTGGTGTGTGTGTGTGAAGGATTGGAGGAGATGCAGAAAGCCTGTTTTTCTGCCAGCAGCAAAGACTCGAAAAGAAGTATATAATGGGAGAGGCAGTAGATCCTGTCAGATAGCAGGACTTCATCCATTGTAGTGAGGTAGGGAACAGCTGGCTTTTTAGATGAAGGGCAATACCATGCCAGCATAATGGAGCAAAGTGATATTTGAGCATCGTCAAACACTTCGTACCTTAATTTTCCTGGTGATAGCCTATATGATAATTCTTTGCATTCTTGTTATTCAACATTCATTAACTCCAAAATATTTACAGATGATTTATGTTTGTAACCTAGTAGGCAGTTTTTAAACTTGAACCCAGTGTGTTATATTGGTTTTGTATAGAAAGCACTCCATGGCATGACCTGAATTTGACCCAGCTCTGCCCATTTTTCTGCTCAGAAGATATTCATGGGACTCTCAGAAATGGCTTCCCAGATGGACGAAGGTCTGGGTCACAGAGCTCTTCCGATTTACATGTGAAGGATGCTGCTGCCTTTTGGTTTAGGTCCTGATTTGCCAAATGTGGGATTAAAGGTGGAAATGCTGAAAATCAGATAATTGACATAACTGGACTGTTTGTGGCAAGTTGTTTTGCTGCAATCTGATTAGTTACAGCCAGCCCTTAACGTCACAATAAACAGCCAGTTGGAATAGATGACTATCTCCTTCTAGCTCAGGCTGAAGCAGCATTATCTTTGCCTAGACAAGGGAGTGGAAACAGTACTGTTAACATCTTTCTGCCTTCCTATTTTTTGGGGGGGGGGGGGCACTCATGTATGGTGTAACTAGGTTCTTACGGCTGACTTAAATGTCCATCAAACATTTTTTGTGTGCCCAGCTAGTTGACTGAGAAGCATTTCAAGAAGGCAAGAAAAAGTTCATAGAGGGGTGCCAAGGATACAATACAAAGCTACATCTTCATCTTCCAGTGAGCCTAACAGTCTAGAACAACTTGCTTCTTGGAGGTCACTTTTCAGTATTATTGACCTTTTCCAATTCCAGAGAGTATGCTGATACCAAGTAGTTTATGCAGAGAGTTGGCATCCCTCTCTTCTCCGATTCATCTTGGTTCAACTATTGGACATACACAATGTTTTAGGCAAGCCCCAGCTTCTATTTTAGAAGATGTTGTGCCTTTGTTTCTTGAAGCTGCCTGGCATTTGTTTTGACAAGGTACCTTCTCCAAACAGAGACTATGGCTACGGACTCTGGCAAGTTGCATTTGTTCATTAATGAACGGTGCCCTGGTTTTCTTCTATTTCTCTGCCTTCGTGTATTACTAGGGTGGGTGCATTAATCTGAAGTGGATGGCAGTTTATAATGCCAAGATACTTTCTTAGCAAGCAAAATTTAGCAGTTTTTCCCCTCGCACTTAAAGAAAAATTGCAGACTGGTTTTTTTTCCAATAAGTAGAAGGGAGAGGCTGGCATAGCAGAGTGGAGAACTGAAGAAGAGGAGGAGGAGGAGTAGGAGGAAGAAGAAGAAGAGTCGTCTCTTATACCCTCCCCCCTTTGTAGTAGAAACCATTTTCTACAAAATATATCAAAAGCAGTCACTTTTTTGAGATTTTATGTGTGTTTTAACTAGACCAAACTATGCAGTTGGGTGATGAAAGTATGTTAATATTACTTTTGCAGTAGACTCTTGAGGTGGAATTTGCAGGTGTGAAGGAAAACAATTGTTCTGATTTAAAGATTTAAGTTGCAGGACTTCAGTCAACTTCACCCCTGACCTTTTCTTGTCCTATTTTTGCCTCTGATGTAAACATAACATTCATGTTGTTCATGGAAGGAGGCATCGTTTTAATTTTGAGTGCCAAAAATCTTTGCACTGAGGTCGCTTTCTCTCCTACGCCCTATTCATTCAGTCAGATAAAGTGGCATTTCAATAATACAGCATAACAAACATGTTGAGCATTTTCATTTTGTTCATCTAACTTAAAATTTACCTTTATGCCTGGCCAATATTTGGTTTCAAGTATCCCATACTTCAGGTCGTGTAATTCTGAGAGTTACGTTTGGCATAGCGAAAGGACAGAAACGATCATTTCTCTCCCTAGGCAATTAGAAATTAAAACTTAATACTCTGGTTTTTTGAGATTTAATATTTTCATTTTTCATAACAAAGTTGTTGCACTATCTATAAATGAATGAAATGTTCTACATTTGTGATCAGGTTGTGTATTATTAATTTCTGTAGTGCTTTTAAAATTTCTGTATTCTTGATCTTTATAATGTACTCTTTGGCAGTTTGCTGTTATCCCCATTTTAGAGATGGGGAATTTATAATGGAGTACAATTGGTTAACTTTGTCCAGCATTTTTTCTGTTGAAACAAAAGCTACACAGAATTCTTGCTATTTGCCGCCTTTTGTTAAAAAGAAAATAGAAACTATTTTTTGGCTCCCGTCACCACATTCAGAGAAATGATCTACAAATGAGAGTCCTGCTTGTTTCAATTTGTATGCTTTCAGACTGCACCTACTGTTTTTATTTTCCCATAGTATTTCAGTGTGAAGTCTTAAAAGTAACCATAGTGCAGAAATTAGTATCTCGCCTCCCACAGGATACTCAAATAGGATTTACCGGGCTATACTGTAAGGTTGAGCTTTTATTTTTTTTTATTGGAAAAATCTTGACAAAAAAACGACTCTGCCGACACGGGTTGCCATATGTAAAGATTTTCCCAGACGTTTCAGCAATTTCTGCCCAGACGCTGTTTCTGACAGCTGATTGCCAGCTATGTCCGGGAAATTCTGGATGTATGGCAACCGTACTGTACGAATATTTTCAGAGGAGTAAGAGAGGAGGCTGGTGTATGTGCAAAGTATATATCTGGTGTGTTCTTTAGTAGAAATGCCCTATAGTTTGTCTTCTACCATGTGGCTTGCTCAGGGTAGAACAACTTACTTGATCACTGAAAAGGGCAACTACCAGTAAAAGAAACAACACCATTCTTGTGAAGTCCATGATTGGCATGTATTGGTGGTAATGCAGCCATCTAGTGTTGGTTTGGAATCCAGAGCAGAACTGGGCCAAGCATGGAAAATAAGGCACTTGGTGAGGGAAGTTCTAGATCAACTCTCCTGCTGCTTTAGTCTCCCTACAATAATGCAATCTCTTGTCTGTTGTGAAAGGACTTTCTCAAGGGAAGGCAGAAGGGGTTGGTTGCTATTAGATGACTGATTCTAAGGGAACAATAGGGCCAGAATGAAATATAACTAATGAAAAGCATTTTTGAACATGCATGTGTTACACTAGGATGGGAACTTCAGATAAAAACTCCCTGTTATGCACATTGAATTCTGAGTTGTGCAAATGTCCAGAGTTAAAGAGTCTCTCTCTCTCTCTCTCTCTC